GTATAGCAAGATATCTGAATATTTGGAGATACATGTATACAAAGTAGACAGAACACCTGCTTAACTCACCTGCATATGTTCCAAAGGAGTGGGTTCCCAAACAAAAGGGTACATTTTCTGGTCCGCGTAAATCGCATCTCCGAGCCAAATCCATAAATCGGGATCGTACTTCATGACCAAAGGCCACACTGGCTGGTCTCGGTCATGTTTGCTACAAGAGCCAAAAGATATCTTCGCTATTGTCTGGTCGCGAAGCTCAAAGTCAGCAGCGTGAACGTGCGATGCGACCAAGGGTATAGCCCAAGCTATGTACGTATGCCATCGCATAATTCGCTCGCGAGAATGTGTCTTCCCTGCGTACAACTATATATCTCCACAGATGAATGACGAAGCAATACTCTGTCAACGGCAGTCCTGACACTCCCCGTATATATCATATATCAACATTTTTATAAATAGGGGGCTTGAAACATACATACCCACTTTTTTTGGGCCTCGTTCTCAAATCATCGCTGATGATGTCATTGTTTTTCTATCTTTGAAAGGGGGTACAAAACTACAAATACAACCATATATTTTGGGGCCGGACGGGATGGGGGCCTGGTCAATTATAAAAAAGCATTGCCGTCAAACTCTTTTTTATGGTCCAGGGTCCGTTTCATGCCTAAAATTGGACAGAATAAGAGGTAGACAAAATCCGACAAGTAGGGCTGGTTGGCCTGGGGGCTGGGGCTCTATTGATAATCCCTATGTATGGTTCTCATCAGAGAAGTACGCCTATATGTACGATTGTACGCGCATATCAAATGCCTTCTTTTTAATTTTTTTTTAGCCTTTCAACTTTCAAGTATCCACTTCGGTCTTAAGTCCGTGATTCAACTGGTGTCGTATTCTTTGGCTCAGTTTTGGCGGTAGGCATTCATCACCATAGAGGCAACATCATTGACTAACATTAATCATATCCCGCACCCAAAGCAACACTACTGAATACGTTCATTGTACGCTGGCACCGAACGCAACTTTGAACGCTATCTATCGAATTTTTATCTCCACAATCTATGGCGCAACACGATTGACTGTCTGTTTCCCTGCCGTTTAATAGTATTGTGTCTATTTTACTTGAATATCAATCTATCTATGTTCAATACTCTTTTGAGCATTGCCGCTATTCTTGTATACTGTTATATTTCGTTAGGTTATATGATAAAGGCACTTGCCCATCCACTTCTCTTCAGAGTAAAGCGGTGCACACATAAATTCATACAGCATGAGCAGAGTGCTAATTAAATATGTTCACATTGGTGGTAGTCAAAAAAAGATCTACAAAATAAGAGATAGACGAAGAAAGACAAATCGGTGTGGGTCTTCTCCCTGCAGGGAGTGTGGGCCGCGTATGCGCTAAATTTATAAATTTTCTGTCTAATTTATATAAAAGGCCATGAAATTTCACATATTATATTTAATTAAATATACTGCTTTTAGTGTCTCTTGATTTATACTACAAACTTGCTTAGCAGCTTTATTGTATCATGGCTTCTGTCTAAGATGCACATCAATTAACTGTGTATTTTAAGATATACAGTAGTGCATGTGAATATTCCTGAGCGTGGAAGTTATTGATGCATGAGAATTACTTTATCTCATGTGTACAAACGTGGTATACAAACTTTCGCTACATGATAGCACTGATGTCCATTTCTCTTTCTCGTTTCAAAGGTACTCAAAAATACATATCTATTCTTATATGCTGATTATATGGATGATTTGCTACCTTACGATATATATACACATGGATGCATATATGTATGTATACAAACAAACGAACACACACATACACACTTATACACACATACACGTGTACGTCTGTGTACACACACCCACTCAAACACTAACACACCCACTCAAACACTAACACACCCACTCAAACACTAACACACACACACACCCACACGCACACACATACACACACTACTACTAACTAACTAACTAAACTAACTAACTAACTAACTAACTAACTAACTAACTAACTAACTAACTAACTAACTAACTAACTAACTAACTAACTAACTAACTAACTAACTAACTAACTAACTAACTAA